GGTGCGCTATTGATTTCTTGGAACGTGTGAGAAAATTTTAGCAGATGATGTAAAAGATAAGTGCTAAATTATTTCAACGTGGAAAATAAATGAAACGCTTTCGACCTAAATTCAAGTAGAAAAGTACTACGTGTTGGGTCTGTATGGATGTGTATGTGAATTGGGATTGGGATGTAATGGTGCTGATTACTTGATGAATGAATGCATTCATGCAGTGACTGGGTTAAAGGTAATAAAGAAAGGGAAAATGGAATGAAATTGAAAACGTGTGAAAATTAATGTGAGAAAATGGATATGTGTGTTGGAGGTAAGAGGATAGATGGAGACAGATGAACAAGTGGAGACTGATAAATAATTTTAGAATTGTCTCGTTTTCACTTTTTCGTCCTCTTTTGTCCATTAAGCTAGAATTGACATTAAAATGTAGGTAAATTTAGGTGTTGGAATGGAACTGTTGAAACATTGACTGGATTTGTGTTATTCTGGATATCTCAGTTTTTTTTCAAACATCTTTACAGCCTCTCTCAGATAAGTTTTAAAAACATTTTAGAAGGGATATCGCAAATGATTTTAATAGATTTTAATTTAAGCTAAAAATTAAGCTAAACTGATCATTGTTAAGCTAATAGTCGTCATGTTTCAGAATTCGTTTCCAGTAGTTTAAATTGGCTCAGTAAGCATTATATGATTCCAAATTTCTGCACATTACTAGAGTGTGGGATTTAACTTTCAATCTTAATTACTTTTATACCAACAGTGAGATTAAGAGAAAGTTTTTACAAGATACTTGCATATTATATTTTGTCTCCAACTTCTGTAGACTCATCATTATTTCCTTTATTTTAAATTTCATGTTTTCTGTTGATTCTTATTCCATACTTACTAAATTTTGTTCGACGAGCATTCAGCAACAGGTTTCCTTACAATTACTTTATCATGGAACTCTGTTCTCATCAAATTTATTGTTCATGAAATGCGAAGTTTTGAGTTTATTCAGTGCAACTAACAAATTTTTCAGGGGCTTTAATACCTTCTCTAAATTCAATCCTTTTAATTTTTATCCATTTTTTAACTCTTTATTTGATTTAAACACATCAAGTCAATCGCTAATTTTTGTGTCTCCATTTGAATTTGTTTCCTCAACAACCTTCGTCATTCATGCGTTCATATCAGCGGTCACAATGCTAAGGCATCTATGAAACAATATATGAAACTTAAAATGTTTCAGCTGATTAATATGTAGCATAATGTAATGAATGATGAGATTGATTTTATTAGCGTCAACTTTCATTCTAAATGAGATGGAAATATTTAGAGATACTGAAGAATTTCCCATCTCACTTCTACTTTTTCACAATATTTCTTCAACCTTCCATATACTTCAAATGTTCTTTATGCTTTTTCGATGACATAAAATTGTGACGAAAACCCCTAATTTACATATTTTTCTGAGATTAAAATTAGTTCGCAAAAATTTTGGTTTACAAAAATGAAAAAAGCACGACGTCCAAATTGTTTTTTGAGAATTTCTTCCATGTTATTTTTAATTATTCAGCTTGCAAGTGCAACTTTCATTCTTCGGACGATATGCATAAACTAAAATAGGTTGTTGTGAACAGTATTAATAAAACTCCTGCTTGTCAAAAACTTAAAAAATAATGATTTCCAAATGCAAGTATTTTTTTTAATAAGGGATTGGTTCAGAGTTTTTGAATTCTGCAGTCTTCTTGCTTATCATCAAACAGTGGCTGATCCACAAGTTCGATCTAGTTAAATTTCAGTTTTATATCTGTTCCAGACATAAATGCAAAGAGCATTTGTGCTTCGTGCATTCAAGTGATAGCCGATGTTCTATCTGTGTAACTAGTTATATTTACTATTTTCGAAGAGTATGTGAATAGCTGGGATGTGCTTGTTTGTTTTAATTTCATTTTTCATTTATTTCATGAAAATATTTGATCTGCTAATGCTTATTTTTGACCGCTGCGTTCGACAGATATACAATTTGATTCAGTTTTGAAATTTTCTCATCATACACTGTTTTGCCTTCAATCCGCTTTTTGTTTTTGTAACGAAAAAATGCAAATAGTATTTTCAATATGGAAGTTTATGATTGAAAAACTTACTTTTTTTTTCATTTTTCCTGCTCTTTTCATGAAGTTTGCTCCCTAAACCGACCTTTTTACCATTACAAAATCGTTTTCTCTCTTCACTATATTTCTTGAAGCTAATTATTTATTTCACTGTCTTCGTAAAAATTGAAAATTTTCCGTCTTATTATCCTCAGTATTCTTCCTCTATTATTTCCTTGACCTAAAAGTAGTTTCGGTGGTGCATTTCTACGAGTTCATTTTGTGTGATCTTTTTTAATAATGTTTTTGGGTAGGGTAAGAATAGTAATCAGAGTGTAATATTGAAAAAATAGTAGTGACCTTGTAAACTGTCATCTGTCAGTAGAGCAGAAACCTCGAATCACTTTCACTCATCCTTTTCACTGCGGAATGTTTGATTTTTAACATCTGATTCGATAAATTGAATGAGCAATATAAGTTTAAGGTATTTTTCAAAATCATGTAGGATGTTTTTTCTGAACTCACGTGTAATGCATAAAACATGTCAAAGATGCAAGAAATGCAACTTCAATAACTCTGAAGTAGAATTAACTCGTAGCTTGAGACTAGTTGTTCTAGAACGAATTGCAAAAAAAGCATACAGTGCTTTTGAATGCGAGCATATATTTTTTTCTTCCTAAAATAATAAATGTTTGTAGACTTCATTTCATTGTGAAAATCGCGCAGAATCATATCTTGTTTCCAGTTTTTTTATCTTAAAGATTTGTATTTGCTTTATCTGTATGACTAGAGTCGTTGGGCAAATACTCGAGCTAACTTTTTATTTTAAAACACTCAAAAAATTTATCATAAGTTTTCAGTCTCCTTTACTTCTTTTGCTTTGTTCAAAGAAGAAAGCCGAATTATCGAATGTTATGGTATTGGAAGTACCCTCAAGGAAGCCAACTTGAAAATACAAGGAAATTTTGGCAATTTATTGCTTAGGTAAGATTTAGAAGTTCGCAGTAAGCAATATTTAAGATACAAGATCAATAAAGAAAATTTTGTCAATAGTTTGATCGCCACATTCATGATTTATATCGATCCTTTCTCAAAACATACTTGTGTTCTACAACACTCCGTTCTGCAATATATGAATCATTCATGTGCTGTCCTGAAAAAATTAAAGGATTTGATTGGTACATTTGCACTGATTGCTTCTGGTCGCCGTATTTATCAAAAGTTAAACAGAGTACGAGTACGGACTATTTCAATTTCCATTAATGATGCAGATTGGTTTTACGCGTGAAGCAAATTTTAGAATTGTGAATTAGTATGTCTTTGAAATCAAGTAAACTAAAAAATTATGAAAATAAAAAAGTGTATGATTGTTGCCTTTTTATCATATCTGTTAATTTGCTTAAATAAGTCAGAGAAGTGATTTTTTTTAAATTTTTGAATAGAAACAGTTTTTGAATAATCCAGAGTTTGCTCAGAAGTGAAGCATGTTTCATTCTGCTTACGCATTTTTGTAATTATGTCAAAAATCTAAAAATTAATTGTCAATAAATGGCAATTTGTCATGTTTTTTCTTTTTTTTTTTCAATATAAAACTTATCGTGTACGGATCAACAGCCGCAAACAGCAGTTCAAGCTAACTTAGAAATGAAGGATTTTAATAATTGCAAATTATATTCAGCAATGGTTGAGATAATTATACTGGAGATCTTGAATTTAAATACTTTTGTTTTTGTAAAACAAATCTAGATTAGTAAGCCTTATCATTTAAATCTCAAGAAAAATGAAAGGCCTATTCATTATTTGTTTGTGGAAATTTTGTAGCCTTAAGATTATAAATGGATCGTTTCAGAACTGTAAAAAGAATAAGCATATAAGCTTGAAAAAGAATTGCAAGTCCAACTATTTAGTGTGTAACTTCAAAATTTAGATTGTGCGAAAGACATACGTTACAATCGCTTTGCATATGAGCTGTCTAGTATATAGTTATTCAAAATATAAAAAATTAGTCGCAAGAAATTTTGTTTATTTCTTTATTTAAACAGTGAATGATTTAAATATTGGTTCTTGGGAAACGTGGAAAGTCTTACTGGTTTAAATTAAAATTCTTCGACAGGAAGTTAAATTATCAAAAACATCAAATATGAGTTTTTTTCCTGTTAATCTCGAAAATTCAATTTTGTTTTCTATACTGTCTCTTCCCGTAACTTTATTCTTTTTGTTTTCGCCATAGTTGTAGTAGAGAAATAGATGAAGAATATTATAGATAGTGGTAGCAGACTGCCACTGTCCTTAACATATTAAAATCATCACCTCCGAATCTAAATATAACTGCTTGCTGAACCGTTTTACAGTGACCAGCGTACATTTGACCTGCTATATGTCTTCTATATTTTTCATTTTTTGTCGGAAAAAATTATTGAATCGCAAAGCCCTATCTGTCATTAAACATCAAATAGAAAAATCCCTTATTTTTCACATATTATGATTATTATTATTGTTATTATTAATAATAATTATTATAATTAATTATTATTACCATTATTAGGAATTGCAAAATGAAAGTTTAAAATCTTTGAGTTTTGAGAATAATCTTCGTTATAATGCCCAAAAAAATTATTCAGTGTATGGCTCTCCAAAATGATATCAGAAGAATTAGTAAATTGATAAGTAATGGCATGTGAAAATATGATAATCCTCAATTTCGGATCACAAAATTTTGCACGATTCATTTTATCATAGTTCTACTATTTAGGATTGTCTAATTGAAATGGTAAAATAGATTTTATGTGAAATATGTTGATTTAAGTAATTTTGCATTTAATTTGACTTGAATTTTTCAGTTAGATAGCATAATTAGGCAATAATTAGTATTTGCCGATGATCATGCATTTAATTTCAGTAAAAATCAAAATAATTTACAAATGTGTGATGGATGGATTGGGCGTTGAATCTTGTTCAAATTCACATTCATCTTCGTTGCTAAGCGGATTGAATCTCATCTCTTCTGTAAATAATGCGGGACATCGATTGTATGAATCATCCAGTAGTTCGGATACATCCGTTTCGCCAACACCATCTAACAGTGATTCTAATCAGCAACGGTTTGCTTTTTTTTGCATATATAGTGTTTATAATTAAAGTCGATCATTTATTCTAAAATAAAAATGATGTATTTTTTTAAATACGAGAACAAAATAAAGTAATACGTGTCTGCTGCTTTGTTAGAGAAAGGATGATATGATTCAGACTATAAATGTTTTGACTATTCAAGCTATTGAAATTATTCTACATTAAAAACTGACCATTGTGAGAGTAGGCAGTCAATAAAAGAAACAAATAAAAATGATGCGTTCGAGGAAAAATGTTATCGTAGCAATGCTGCTGCAAAGAAGACACGAGAAAAACGTCGAATCAGCAGTATGGTAATCATATCTTATTATCGTTATAATTGCCATACAAACATTTTTTGGCAGAAATAAGTGAGCAACAGATACAAAATTGAAGTTACCATGCATTTTATTTGTATCTGCGAAAGGGGAAATATTTGTTATGTAGATAATGGAGCAAAAACTGCTGCAACTAACGAAGGAGAACAATTTGTTGAGAAATCGCTTGAAACAGCATCAGCAACAGCAACAGCAGTACACATCACGTGTTATGTCACATGACACCGTGATCGTGTCTGCGTCGCAGAAGAAGGATACAGTTAGTGCAATTATACCAGCAGTACCACCGGTTACAATAGTCCCGTCGGTTCCAGCTTCTTCAGTAGACAACCTATCTGCCGCACTCACTACACCCTCAAAACTACCGCTAATGTTCCCGCCACATCTGTTTGCTGCTGCCAACTCTCTGCTAGTGACGCCCTCTGCTTCCATGCCTGCAACAATTCTCGCACCTTCCGCAGCCCCTGCAACGTCATCACTCTTAGCTCCATCGAGTGACGGCACATCATCGACAGTCCAGGCAGCAACTGCTGCCACTGCACAGCAGTTTCCAGTTTTACGGATTTGCACGTTGCAAGCAGCACTTCGGCAAGTACAGCAGGTACCTACAGAAGTAAATTATATAAAGTGATCTAATATATAAATATATATGAATATGAATATATGTATATATAGTATAGCAGCTGGTACATATTGCAAATTAAGAGCTTCTTTTCGAATTTTTGGGAAGGTTAATTTTTTTTAGTTGATTTTCTTTCAGAACTACTGTCCTTCTTCCTCTTCAACACCAATTTCCTCCGGTCATAGCGCTTTCCAGCCGTTTCACAGTTCGCGTGACCCAACTAGTTCCACACAGAGCTATAGTCCGGATTCGTCTACAACTGATGCTACACCGTTGGATTATTCAATGCATGATACGAATGTTTTGATGGGTTTCTTTTTATGTTAAATTAGTGACATGATACCGAAGTCAGATATACTTGATAAATTTTTTTTTGCTTTGGTTTGTTCTCATTTTTGCAGAAACTCCTTCTGATTCGTCGCATATTTTGCAATATCGTCGGTTAGAGCGACAGTCAGATCACACGGCAGAAACGGAGACGGAACCACAAGCGTCAATTGATTCTTTGACATCATCGTCATCATCTTCATCTTCCTCGTCATCTGCTTCTGACAAAAATCGAGAAAGTGACGGTGATGATAAACCACATTCGCTACTTGGCTCATTGCTCTCTACCAAACGAACATCACCACTAGTTGCTCAGAGTAGAACGGATACTCATTCTGGTCTTAATAATACTCCACCGAAAGATGTAATCAGAGTGTTTTACTTTTTCGCCTTAACGTTGCCTTATTTACTTCAGCTTTGTATATTTTTGTATTTTTAAATCCAGTTTACCTGGGTAAAAAATAATAATTTCAAAAGCATTACGGACTGACAGTACGATAAAATGGAAATTATTCAAAGTTCTTCGCAATTCACTTACTATTTAGAAAAAAAAATTATTGAATGTATTTCATATCCAGACTTGAAATAAAATTATCTGAAATAACTGCATCTCATTGCAGAATGATTTGAAAAATTGCTTGAGTAGTTTGGCAGTACATTTGAGCACTAGTGTAGCAGCAGGTGCTTCGACTACATCTGGAGTTTCTGGTACAATTTCTGATACTTCGTCACCCAATGCAGGACTCTTAAGCTCGGTGGTAATGTCTATAAAGTCAGCTGATAATTCCAAAAAAGACAGCAGTGAAGGAATGGAATCACTTATTACTATTAATCCTAGCATTGTTAATAATGATGCCAATGATTCGCAACTTCTTCCTGCTGCAAAAAATTCTGCCATCGTTAAAGCTTTACGTTCGCGACCGTCCAGTAAGGTATAAGTTATTTGCAGTGTCAAAATTGGCTGAGATGGGCACTTACTTCCATTATAGTAATTAATCAGTCGTCTGATATCAAGCTAAATTTTTTTTAATATTTAATTAGTAAAATAATTCAGTTTGCTGCTCTCTCTTCTATCTTTGTTACTTTCTGTAATCAGTTATAGCAACAATATATGGATCGACGACGACGTAACAACGAAGCTGCCAAGCGATGTCGGGCCAATCGGCGAGCCCAATTTGAATATCGCAGTAAGCGAGCCCAGCAATTGGAAGCAGAGAATGAAGAACTGCGTAGAGAAATGAGTCGTTTGAAGCAAGAGTTGGAACAATTGAAAGCGTTACATGCTGCCAAAAGTGCTTCTGTCTTGCTAAACTAATACATATACGCTAGCTTATCTTTACAGTATTCAAATTAATTCAAGATGATGCAAGTAAGGAAATTCATATAGACATGTTAGGTTGGTTCGCAGTGAAGTGTAGGTACAGTTTCTTTAGAAATTTCTTAAAATCGCTGTAAGGTATTATTAGATTAGATCTATCCAACTGATTTCCAAAGAAGTTTTTTTGATATGAAGTGGGATGAAAAGCAAGATGTCGAAATCTGGAAGAAATTATCGTGATTTCATGAAAAATACAGATCATACTCTTCATTACCTTCTAGTGCTGCATATCTTTGCAAATGAGATCATAGTATCAAACTCCTTGTTATTTGTATTGTATAAAAAATTTGCCATGCAAAACATCCAACTCCATCTTTAATCTTCAAAGTGAATACAGTTTGTATCACATCATTTCTGCATTTTCTATTATAAATCTAATCTAATGTTCTATTATAAATCTAATGGTCAAGGAGAACCTTTGATCCCTGATTAGCTATAAACTTTGCAATCAAGAAGCTAAAAGTCCCAAATCCATTCTTGTCGACTAAAGGTTTTCCGTTTTTTTAATATGATATATAAGTTTATATGCTTTACCAAATTATACGTCCTTTTGTGACTGTTGACCTCTCCCTCTTAAGCTGCATTTTTATTACACTATGAAATTATACAGAATAAAATCATGTGATTGTCTAGGGTTACACCCAATGACAAAGTTAAAATAATAGCTCTCCAAGATCACTGCAAGTAAGCTGAACACATCTCGATAAATCCTTCATTTTCAAAGATTCATGACATAGTGTCTTACCAAATGTAGGTAGAGATTAGTTTCATTTCTCTTATTGCATTTAGCAAATAGAACGGCATATTTTTATTTATGTGAAATTAGGCAAAATATCTGGACACTATTTAATTGAAGACAATGTGATTCAGATTTGAATGTGAGCCGCAATTAATCTGTTTATACTAGAATAGTATTACACTGAATTTGAAGCTGTTTAGCCAAACTTGGATGAAACAACATAATTTTTCTTTCAAATTTGCTTTTACAGGTTCGAATAAATCGGAACTGAAAAACACAGAATGTTTTACGTATAACTGCAACATAAAATGAAGCTCCATAAAGTTTGAGATGCAGCTTTGCATTTACAGATAAAGCTGAAAGATACATGAAATATACTTACTGAGAAATTAGTTGCAAGTCTTCTGCATTGTTTGTGCTATAAATTAAGAAAATTATTTAGGAAAGCCAAGAAAAATCAAGGAAAATGTTTCTCAAGGAGGTTACATTAATAGAAAAGCTAATTTATTAAAGTCTCAACTTTCGGTTAACATGAATTGCTTGCTGTATTGTTAGTGGATAGATAATGATGCAGTTATTATTTTCATTCATTTAGGATGAATGGTGATTGAAATTTTCACTCAGTAAACGTCATTTTCTTTAATCATAGTTGCAATTAATTAATATTGTCTGTAAGGCCTAATTAAAACTAACTAAAACTTCAAAAAAAGTGTAACATTAGTTAGCTAAAAGGTATAAATATAAAAATTTTGCAAAATTACCGGCGGAATTTTAAACTATTTCTTCTTTTTGATCATTTGAGCCAAAAGTTTGAGTTTCTTACTCTGAAAATCAATTTAGACAGTTTGATTGGAACAGTGATAAAGTTGAATTTGTTATTCGTTTTATCTTCGAATAAGTTGATTTTGATTTTTGTCGACATTATCAATTGATAGTAATTGATGTTTCACATGATTCTAATCATAATAAAATCGGATTTTGCGTAGAAATCAATGATTCAAACAAAATGTCATCATTTTCAAAATAATCTGATGGAAAAAACCAATACTAAATCATATGCAAACGATAAAATTTTATCAATACTTTTTTCCTAAATTTAAATTGGATTTCGTGAAATAGCATGTATTGCTATCATGAATTTTTTTCTGAAAGTTATATCAGTTTAAAATTAGCAGTTCCCTGTTAAAAAATTTTGTAACTTGCTATTGGAAAATTTACCGATGCCTTACGACTTTGAGAATGGCTTTTCGAGGAATTTTGTTTGAAAGAATACGAATTCTGCTTGCCCGAAGTTGTGTCTTTAACTGACGTTGCCGTGACTGTTTTAGTTGTATTCTTTAAACGTAAACTGGTCATAGACGTGGTCACTACATTCCTCTGACCCTGGCTTTTTTGTGTATTAGAAGACTGTTGACCTATTCGGCTAATATCTTTAGCCATTTTTTCCAGATGTTTTACGGCCTGAAAGAGCTAAAATTGATTTGTTTTTCAAATGACGAAAATGAAATCAAACTCAAAAGTCTTGAGGAAAGAATTCTTAAGGACCAAGTTAGTATGTTTCTTTTCATAGTTCACTTTTTGATAAACGATCAGAAAGTTTTTAAATTATTTGCAAGCAAAAAAAGCCCGATAACTTTTGTTCAAAGCACTAATATCACAACATATTTCTTTTAAAAGGCTTTTGCAGCAACGAGAAAATTACAATGATATGAATTACATCAGACATGGACCACCGATTTGCAGGGTTTTGATCCCAACAATGTTCAAGTAACGTTGATATACCGTCAGGTGCTTTAGGTATTTCCATTCTCTGGCCTGTCATAACCTAAAACTTATTTCTATTTTACTGCTCGTGACATGAATTATTTATTCATTTTTTCATTCACTAATTCATTGTGATTAAAAGAGCTTAAATAAGATATAACCATTTTTTTCACTTCTGAATTGGACATCCCTTTGTAAGGTTCCTCCCCATCAGTAAATATTTCACAAATCATTATACTAAACGAAAAAACGTCGGTTTTCAAGCTATAAATGAAAGTTGCAATGGTTTCCGGAGCTGTCCACTTGATTGGAACTTTCTTACAGGTTTTCATTTTATAAATTGTTCCTTCACGTGACATTCCAAAGTCACTAATTTTAGCCTGCAGTGATTTCAGCAAATTAAATAATGCATTTTTTATTTCGAATTGAATCTTTAAACACCATTAATTCAAAAAATAAAAATGAAAAACTTGATAAAATAGATATGTTCATAGCTGCTAGTTAAATTAAAGAAACTTGGGCAGAAAAATAAGCCAGAAATGTTCGATAAATTACAAAAGTTTTAGTGGAATCTTTGTGCAAGCCAGACCACTTTCTCTTTGGTATAAAGAATATTTCGAGCAGCGATATCCCGGTGTATGCATTTTTTTGAATGCAAGTACTGCAAACCATACGCAGCACCGAGGCACATTTTTTCAACCTTTTCCTCATCGGAAACGGTTCCCTTCCGTTGTTTCAAATCTTCTGATAAGCATCCACCTTTGACCTGAAACCACAAAAAATTGCATCGTGAATCTAGAATTAAAACAAACTTAATGCAAACACAAGTATTACTAGTTTATTATGACTTTCAAGAAATGATGAATTACGCACTCATATCAAGAAAAATTCCAAGCCTAGTTGATTTTGTTTTTACTGCTGCTTACTAACTCATCGTATTTCAGTTTATTCTGAATAATATAAACTTATGTGAAGCCTTTCAATTTTAATCATCGCATTTCTTAAAATCTTTTTCATTTCTCTATTTTCTCAACATATTGCTATTATCTTAGTTTGTTCTATGACTTATAATCTCTTAAATCACGCTTTTAAAGTGTTTATTCGCGAAAATTAGAGAAAATGTTAAAAAGAAAGAAAAAACAGACACAATGAGTTCTAAAAAAGTAGCTAGAATTGATTTTTCAACGTCGGCGCTAGTTTTTGTAACGAGAATCTAGCCTAGAAAAAATTTTCTTTTCACCAATTCGATGACAATCATTAGAGGTTCTCGGTCGACAGCAACTCCGTAAATACGAACAATATTTTCATGGCCATAATGACGCATCAAACGTGCTTCGTGCATCATTTCTTTAATTTTCTCCTTTCGGAACGCCATTTGAGCTTCTGTGACTGTTAATTTAGCCTGAAAATACATAAAAATAGTTGAAAGAAATGAATGTTAACTACCAATATACCTCAATAAGTCAATACCACACGGAAATTAATCTTCTTCACAGTACTGCTGATTCTGGAGATGGATCGTGTTCTGGCACTTTCGGTATACTTGTCCTACGCTCAGTTCTACTGTGCTCGTCCCGTCGCTTCGTCCTCGTCGAATGCACGGCACAGATCAAATGTGATCCTTTCGACCATCTTTTTAAGCACTCCCGATCAGATATATGTTTCACATTATCAGATATACTGATCTCCTTCACGTAGCGTTTATAAAAGTTCATTACAACCCCATCCCAAGTCTTCACATACAGAATTATTTTCGTCCTGCACTTCATTTCTCACCCGAGTTTATTAGCCAGTAAATCATACTTTCGCTTCTTCTCCGTAACGACTGCTATCAACAAGTTCTTACCAGTGATACCAACCTCTATCAAGATTACTTCATATTGATTATCTTGGATCATGATAATTGGTCGATCCGCACTTATCTTTATAGCTGTTCTCACTCGTGATCAACTCTGATCTCTACATTCTCATTCGCGACAACCTCCTGAACAGAATGGCTTCGCAAGCGCAGGAATGCTTTCAGACCATACTTCTTGCATAGTCCCAAATGGATGCATCACAAAACCTTATTTTGTCTTTTAGTTTAGTCATGATACACCATTTTTTCACATTACGCTGCCAGATAGTCCATCGTCTTCACACATTCCCTAAAACGTGGAGACATACTTTTCTCTGTTCCAAACATATTTCTATCTTGAAAGTAACAGTATCGTGTTTCATCTTGTGGGGTAATGTTTCTGTATCGTAGTCATATTAATGAATCAGCTGTCGATAAAAGCTTATTCGTCAGCATATTTCATAGTTTTGCATGAAGGATTTTCTTTTTTATCTCGCTATTCAAGAGTGCTTTCTGGGCTGCTAGTAGGTTTTTAACGATTGCATTATCTAAGAGGTTGTATATGGTCTTAAGATAGAGTGCAATAATTGCTAAGTGTCTGATATGAGCTTTTTCTTGCTGCAGAATTGTAATTTTCCTAGTGAATATGAAAGCGATATCAACAAACAACTTATGAAGCTGCAGAAGAACAAGTTCACTTCTTTATTCACTATGAAATCTAAGTCTTAGCTCGTCCTTGGCAAGTACAGTCTCTCTAAATATGCCAGTTAATTATGATTTCCTTATTTATGTAGTAACTGAATGAGCGTGTCATAAGTTTAATAAACTATTACGTTGGGATACTCTGATATCATGAGTGTTCATAATGTTTATTAAACTTATGGCACGCTCATTCATTGCCTTGATAAAGTTTCTACCATTTGGAGCAGTTTGGCTATCGTTTAATTCTGGCCAAAATCTTTGCTCAAAGTCAGTTCGGTGCACTAGTGCTGTTTTTCTATTATTCCAAGGTATTTGTGTACTTGAATTCCTTCCAAAGCTTTATTAAAGCATTAGTGACTGATTTTGGTGGATTAAACTCTAACTCTACTACCTCAAAGAACCGCACGACTTCGCAAAGAAATTGAGATCATTAGCAAATAGTAGATGGTTTGTTATGCGCAATCCTTGATCATTGGGAATCGGCATATTTGAGTACCACACATATTGTGGCTACTTCTCAACAGGTGCGTAGGACATTAATTCCAATAATCCCACGATTAATTCCAGTAGAGCACAAAACGAATAACAAAGGAGAAATGCTATCACCTTGGAAATTCTCTCACTGTGTTTCCTTCTCCATATGATTTCTCTATGGCTTTTCAGTACAACTGCTCATCTGAAGGTCATGCTTCGCAGAAACCTGATCCACGCTAGCATATTGTACCTTTCAATGCAATTAATCAGGTACTGGTGATTAACTGAATCAAATGCTTTTTAACATAATCCTACGTAATGCATTGCTAGTTACCATACTGCATATCGGCAGGTTCAATAGTTCCTGCTCTTTCGTATCTTGAACCTGGCAAAAGTTCGTAGCTGTCTGCAGGTAAACTCCTCGTAGATCAACTCCATGATACGTGTCACACATTTCGTTGTTAACTTATAAAGCTCGAAATATAAATTATTGGCTTGAAGTCGCTGTTTGTGCTTGCAACACCTTTTTGGAATCAGGTGTATGTGGCTTCTTTAAAAGTGGCCTGCTCCTCTCCATCCAGACAAATCTGTCTTATTAATTTGTACAGAATTTTTTCCGTTAATAGACTGCCCCTTGGTCACTTTGTTCACGAAGAAGTGATATTGTTAAGATAATTACTCATTTGCTAAAATAAAAGGCGCCTGCCGCCTTTCATTTTAGCAAATAAGTAATCTAACCGAATCCTGCCATAGATGACTTCGTATTGCGGAACAAATTCTTCCATATATTCATTGTGCTGGATATTATCATTTCTTCCCATCACGAGTTCTACCGTAGCCCATAACACCTTGATTTTGTTAGTCATTACATTGTGGCTAACAGCGTTCCTCGGTTACTTTATAAAACCGTCTTCTAAATAGCTCAAATGCGGCGTTCTGGACTTTAAGAGCATATCCGAATTCACAATTTGCAGTTCTACTTTCGTAAGCCCTCACACGCTGTAAATATGCTTAAAACTTCATGACAGTCACTCTTGAGAGCAAGTATGAGATCCATGCTCCTCATGCACTTCTTGACTTCTTTTTGGTTTTTAGCTTCTAGCGTTTCACAGGCGAAACACTGCTCCATGAGAGTTTTGTAGAAGTTAAACAAGCTTAATTTATTTTCCATGTTTACATTCCATCCCATGGCTTACTCTCCTGCCTTATCATTTTTTTTGCAAACATGGGTGACCGGACCGACCCTACGCAGAATTAGGTTTTTCCTTTAGTTCTTGGAGGATATGAGCAAACACAACGCCCTTACAATAGAGGGAACAAGACAAAGAAACATATTCCTCTCGCCATACTCCCAAAATAGTTAAGAACCTCTTTCAGTACCTTGACTGGTCATTCGCGCTGCCGAATCTAGATTCAGCAGATGAGTGCTTTGAGCGTCGGTACCTGGTTCTAGTACACTGATGTACTGCTCCTTACAGCCTTTACGCAACTTTTATCCTATATTTTTTTCCTATTGGTTTATATTATGATTCCAGAGGTTTCCAATGTTTTCAGCAACAGTCTTCTCTTTCTATCTGGTTATCCCATCCCTCTTCTTAACGTTGCCTTTTAATGGGTTTTCATTCTTCAGACAAAGGATTGCATGATCATTATCATTAAGGTCCATTACTTCTTTACTGCTTCTTAACAGTCGCCTGTGAAATGAATGATTATTTAGATACAGGTTTGCAGCCATTAGATAAATGAACAGATTGCTGAATTTTGCATCGTATTACTACCAATTCCACCGTTCTGATATTCTTGACTGCACATGCCATTGCTATTATTGTAACAGGTTCTGTTGGCACTGCGATCATTTCTTTCCATAACAGCGCCATAATAATGTCTCCATATGTCTTGGTAGCAGATGAAGGTAGAACAAATGTAGGAATAGGGACCAGACATAGCGAAGAAATAATGCATGACTTCCAAAACCAGGCAAAATCTACGATTATTTCAAACTTGAGCTCTCTCTCTCTATATATAGAGAGAGAAAGAGAGAAGTTAGACACAAAGAAGGGCTTAAGTCTGAGATAAGATTAGATTATATATATATATATATATATATGTAAAATCAATTTTTACATATATATATAAAATCAATACTTTTCGATCTGATATTTCTATCTCCAAAGACAAGTTTTCATAGTGAGACAAATTCTCGATCATACATTAGGATAATATCATACTGAACATAATTTGTCAGCTGTAATTTTTTGGGCATACCGACATAATCGAAATTTCAAATGCTAACTATCTTCACAGCACAGGAAATTTTCTTTTTGTTCATTATGACTTCACCAGATCGCACCTCGCCGAACGCACCTGCACCGAGAACTTTGTCTAACTTGATGTCATCATGGCTGAATTCCCATGGCTGACGCTTGATCCCTTTGACGAGCACGCTTTTGTCAAGCTGCATTAAAACTAATATTTAATTCTTTATTTAGTTGGGTGTTTTCAAAAACTAAATTTGTATGAAAATTTTTTCTGCCAGCTTAATTTTTTTTAAGCTTTACAATGATTTCTTAACCTAGAAGTGAAGACAAATTTTTTGACTTCATACTGATAAATATAATTTTTATCATCTTGCAGATTTTCCAGGAATTAACAGAAAAGCAAAGGAATATACAGTGCAAATAAGGTTTTCGGACAGGACTGTTGACAAACTTGACCAGGTGTTAGGCAGATATTATACAAGATTTTTAAGTACCTTCTAAGTATTACAGTAAGTCTTGTACATCTGAATTTTTAATGAAACAGCTGATTTTATCTTATCATTTTTTGAAATATGATATTCACATTTGTTCAACTTGAAATTGCTGCTTGTATACTGTTCAAAAGTAAACTAACATGAGATTATGTTAATTTACTTTGTCAAGCCTTCAAGTGCAAGAATTTAAAATTTTGATGCAACTTTCAGCTCACTGCTATTAATGATAATTGCATGATGGAATAATGTTCCATACAAACAGTCCTTTTTAACAATTGTAATACATATTTAGTTTGTTATGAGAGTTTTTGACTGTAAATTTGAGAAATATTGATTCATACGTCAGGATTAATTGGATGGCCTTTTTTCTTGTAATATTCAATCAAATCAAAGAACGACGTAAATTTAATCGCCTCAATAGCAATCCAAACGATGTTTCCTTTTGGAAGCTTTTGCTTTTTCACAATAACATGACGCACCTGAAGAGAGCAGAAAAATTTATCTCATCAATCATTTTTAGCCAAAAATATTTTGCAATTGATCTCGAGATTCAATCAAAAAAACTTGCTCAAGCATAAATGATAAAGCTTGTCAGCGACATTTTTCTTGACATCCTGCAGCCGTAATGCTCCGAGATGCATTTTGTGAGAATCATCCATTCATTTGTGGTAATTTTTGGCCGAAAATTCACAGCAATATCAGAGTAACATTGTTAGCCAGTAATTTAAGCGAATTTTATCTGATTGAAAAATTGTTTTGTGCGCTAGATTTGCTCTAAACTAACCGATTGTGGTGATTGATCTTTTGAAATACGAACAGATATGATTACTTCTCGTGGATCTGTTGGCCGTGGTTGAGATACACGCACAAGGAAGTCCCCAATCTGTATCAGAATGTTCAGTTCTTATCAACAAAACTGAAAATTTTATTCAAAAATCGGACAATCTTTACATTTAGAATTCAGTAGTTAATTTTCAGTGAACTATCTATACATTATTGTCTTTCATTTTCATATATAATCATTAAAAAAATTTTTCCCTAATTTTTATAAATAAGTAATGTGCAATTACAACATTTATGCAGTCATAAATTTTTGGCAGTGAATCCAATCCATTTCTCTCCAACAGTAAAAACTTTGAATTTAAGTTTTCCCTAACTTATAATCTATGATTATTAGTCACCTCTCTCAAAATTTCATTACAGTCTTCACGTGGTAGCAATCCATGAAAATATTCTTCGCCTTCTAGACCTTTTGGTATATCTTCAACAACAGGTCCTCTCTTACTTGTTGCATCTTAAATCATGTCTAATAAATAACATTCAGAAACTTTGTTCAAAATAAATTAAAAATTTCAAAAACTTTTCACAAATAATTCATTGTAGATATATATTGCTTGCAAATCAATTATATGAGACGAATTAAAAAAAAGAAATATATTGATGTGAACTGCATTCAATTTTGAAGACTAAAAGATCAAATAGATTAGTATAAAATCTTGAAATTTTTCAAAAACACGAAACATAGATTAAAGAGCGTTACTAGCAAAGTTCATTATTTTTCCATTTTGAATCATGAAATGCTGACATAAATTGAATAAATTTCTTTTAAAAACTAATTAAAAAATCTCTATAAAAACTGACCGAATAAGTTTTTAAATGATTTCATTGACATTGCTCTTGGAAGGACAAGAATTTATAGAACAACCGTACTATAACTTTGCTCAAATGATAAAAAACAAAATTTACATTTAGCAACCTTTTTAACAACCAAAGTTAGTCCTAGAATTTGGAATAACTTCAGAATACTCTTGTAATTTACATAATTATAGAAAAGTTTGTAAATTGCAATTAAGAAAGTAATTCATTTTAAAGTTTGAAAAGCTTTAATGGATAAAAGCAGAAAAATTGCTTGAAGACTTTTGGAAATTTGCAGTTTGATCACTTTCTCTTATTGGTTTGTGGTAAAAAGTTTCATCAGCATTGTTAATCAGCTGTTAAATTATTTTATTCCGTTTTACACTTTGATATACCTTTAGTTATTATCGGAATGAAAATCCATATTTAATGAAAAACCCAAGAATATTTTGTTCTATTCCGTTAGTTAGTTAAAGTTCTTGCCACGAAATAAACTGTCATATTTACCGGTGAGAACTGGAAATAATGTGTGTTGGACATAACAGTTCCATAAAACTAAAAAATTTTTGTCTGAAATCGGCACAGCTGCTCATGTGCCGTGTTTATGTACAAGTTAAAAATCCATGAAGGGAATATAATTGAAGAAAGTCTGAACTTCGAAATTTTAGCTGATGAATAAACTGAGTAATAGACATGTATTTTATACAAATTTTTACAGCAAAATATTAAGTGCCCCAAATTTTCAGCCATTGACAGTACAGAAAATATATAACTGCAGTGCCAATATTTATCGAATCCTTCATATTTTATTTCAATTAATGTTGATAAAATTCAATTGCACGTTATTTCAGCTTAATTTTCTGAAGTTTATTTTTTGTCTTCGTGAGTCAACATGGTACCTGCTCTACATGGCAATTTAATGATTATTATTATGAAAAAATATTTTTGATAAAAGTCGAAACCAGAGTATATTATTGGTACGCATATTTTTCATTGTAACATTTGGTATTTATTTGCTTTTTATTAAAAAAGAACTACCCAAATGCATGGTAGTATTTTTGTTCTTACTGATAAGCAAAGTTGAATTTCAATTTTTCACACAAAATTTTTACAAGAATTTACAAGTTTTGTACAAGACGATAAACACGTCGAATGTATCATAATATGATATTACAATGTATTCGTGCCTTTTTTTTCTTCATTTTTTTACCTTTTTTGAAACAAATTTCAACCTTTTATCTTGAATATGATTCAGCACTTTCATATTTTTCTCTTCCACAGAGTACTGTTTCTTGTTCTCGATTATTATCACTGCCAGTTCGACTGTGACTTCGTTGTTCGTCAATTATATGTCGGATTTCCGGTATTCTGAAATAAGTTCTATAAATCTAATAAAATCTTACCTTCATAATATACAAATTTTGTCCATCTTTTTGCAAAAAAAGTATTCTTAAATTAAAGATTTTTTGTTCAGTTTATTTCGACTAAAGTGGTCTCAAAAGTGAAAGTTTCAGGTTAGATTTAATTAAAATGAAATGAACACCCAGTTATCGAGCAATAAAAGCAGAAATCCTTTAATTCCATTATTTTTTTTCTTCAACTGTCTATTTAGCGTTAACTTATATACTTTTATTAAAAACTGACTTTAAAAAATCAATGATAATTTTAAGCACTTTCGAATAATTGTTGATTTAACTCGAAAAATAAATCGAAGCACAGTTTTTTCATTGGTTTAAACTGCTTTTAATTAAAATGTTTTACATCAGACGACAAACTTATTTGCTAACCCTCATAATTCTAAAAAATGAATGAAATTATTCCAAAAGTGCTCTATGCAAAATTTATTTTATAGTTGGCTGCAAAGTAGAACTTTTGTTTAATTACGAAGGTAACATAATACTCCAATTTATTCTTAGTGGGATTCTAAAATTAATTTATTAGTGATTTTTTTATTTTAAAACGCAGGAAGCTAACATATAAATTCTTATGGAAATCGAAAAAATATTTATGTTAGTTTAAACAATATCATAAAATAATCTTTAACTGATCATTTCAGATCTTTATCTGAAAATTACTCGTTATTTAATAACCAAAAGCTGAAATGTTTTAGAAACGGATTCATTTTAACAGGTAGCTAATAAAATAAACAATGAAATCGGGCTGATAACTGAGAAGGGGCAATTAATTTATAATTTTTATTGATAATGTTCGCTTTAGCAATGGAAATATTAACCTGACTGCGTAGATTATTGGATTGGTAATGGATTTAGCCATAATGAGCATCAGTGTCATTAGTGCAAATACATTGACCCAAATACTTTGAACTTGATGTAATGGCATACCCTGCGCTGTTAGTACATAAAGTAATGATGCAGGAAACCAACCTATCAAAAATGTACCAAAAATGAGACCTGACGTAATTATTGTACGACGTTTACGTGATGTTCTCGCGTTTTTTACACAGGTCTAAAAATATATAGTGCATAGCAACATTTTTAACAATAAACAAATGGAAACAACATATGATTTATTTACAAATTATTGTACTCTGATGAATTGCAAAAACGGCATATTGAATAAAAGCACTTGAAGTGAAATGGAAATTTTTACTTTATTATTTATAAAAAAATTTATTTTTTCGAGCATTTTAAATTGTAAACAATCAGCAAACGACTTTAGGTTTACCATAATGTTCTCGAATCAAAGTCCTTCAATTTTGGTTTTGTTTTTTTGAAAAAAAAAACTTTGAAACAGATATTATACTTGAATAAAAGTATACTAACAGTTTAAAAAATTTTCTTAACAAAAAAAAATATATTGTTAAAGGCTGAATTCAAATTTGCTAAATTATGAGTTGAAAGGTATCAATTTCAAAGTCAAACTACAAACTTCCTGAAGTTTTCTCAGTAGTTTCCAATACATAATTCCGGTTACAAAAATAAGAGCGATGATTGAAATTGAAATAATCATGCGGAAGTAAAGTTTGTTGTAAAATTCTACTATTAGACAATTTTTTGTCTGATATCCCTGGTTAGGCCATGCAGAAAAGTAAATTAGCAAAGCAGTCGGTGGTATGGACCACATCAGAATTATAATTAAATATGTTCTCTGTCGACTTAACAGTTTCCGATGATTGAAAGGATATGTTATGGCTACCAAATGATAAACGGCTAATGTTGAGAGGTGAAGAAGTCCTGTCAACAATCCACCTGTACGAAATACCTGAAATTAAAGTTAGTAAGTATAACTACTTTCCTTCATTTGATCTGACGTTAAACAAAGTAAAATAATAAGTAAAACAATATTACACATTTTCTGTAAGTGTATTTAAATACTCAATCCTTGACTGAACAAATGTTATCAAAACGTATCCAGATGCAGCTACCTGTGAGTATATCAATATCGACGTATTTTACAAATAGTTTAACATAAAAAATTGCAAAAATCACTTCACCTTCGATAAGTATGAAAGTTAAATTATCAACAAATATCATGTCTTTGTCGCATGTATCAACAATCTAATCATTCCTTTTGGTATTTCTTAATCAACAATCAGATTTGAACAGATTTACTTCTGATTACTTTTGACAGCTTCCATAACCATTTCACAAATGTGAACTTCTTTTATCTGCTTTATCTCAACCATTTTGGAAACATATTTTTAGAGGAATATTAAAATATGGGATTTTTTCAGGGAACTCCAATTTTGGCGGCAATTTCCGATCATATTTTTAAGAAAATTATTGACTCTCCGTAAAGATTTCTTGAGTTTCAAAGCCTTTTACTTAATTTTACTAGGAAATTTTATCTTTTCTATTTTTAATTTTAGTCCAGTTGTGAAAGGTATCCAAAAGAATTAAACTTAGTAATGCACTTTTTTAGTCGATTTCTTTAAAAGTTACCACACCAAAAATTTTTCATGAGATAAATAAAAATTGGTCTATGGGCAAAATGCTTTAAGAGTTACAGTTTCCAAGTAATATTCAACTATGAAAAGAAATTTCTGCAGAAAAGAAAAGAATCGCTACATACTTATTATTACTATTGTTTTGGTGCATATTGCTCAATTATGGCTATACCACAAATATTATGCAAATAAATATTTTGCTTCAACAAATTTTTTCTGAAGGATGAAAAGAAATGTTGAAACAGCTCAATTCTGTCAAGTAACTGGTGGAAAAAAACGGAAGCAAATTCCTGTAAAATACTAATTACAGTTACATCTAATCATCCACCAGTCACATTTAGCATTTGCTTGATCACATTTTTTTTAACAATTCAAAACTCCGCTGTATGAATCAGTACTTGAAAAGTAAAAAATGAAAGAATAAATGACCTCCAAAGTAAGAGGAAAGCATATTGATGGATAGTTTATACCCAGTACCACCGGCATGTATGAATTGCGAAAAAGTGAAGCCACTACAACGACAGATGTCCAGGTGTCTGAAGCGGCAAGAGAAAAAGTAAGTTCCAGTATTCCGCTGCGTTTCTTGATCTGTAGCCGAGCTAGCAGTACTAATATGTTACAGAAGGCTGCCAGAGCACATAAAACAAATATTACCGGAATGCAAACCATATACAAGGTTATCTGTTGCACAGCCAAATTCATCACTCAGGTAATGCTAAAATTTATAACTGACATTATTTCTACATCTGTCACCATATTTTATGCAAATTGATCAGACTAACTGCATGTTTTTATGTGATTATTCAAGACATATAATTTTCTTTCAAGAAAAATACAAACGAATCATTAAAATTTAAATGTGCACTGTTATGTAATAAATTTAATCTTAAAGTATCAAAAAAATTTCAAAATTTAATTTTTATCCTTCTGAAATGTGAAATAATTTCTAACTTGGAATTCAAAGTTGATAGTAATTGTTTCTATGGAAAACGTTTAAAATACATCGAAAGATGAATCTGTGAAATGAACAACATGAGTAATGTTATGAAATCAGCTCAAAACTGATCATCATACCAACTAAATTTTTCAAAAAAGTATTTGTATTGTTTCCATTATATAGTTTTCTATTCTCTTCTGAAATCTTGTAGAAATATTTGACAAAAGAGTAGCGCAGATAAAATTATTAACAAACCAGAACACAGAGTACAGATGGAAAAGGATAATAGTCTGCTAATAATTAAATAATTGGTTCCTTTGGTGAACAAAAAGAAATTTTATATAAAAAAGAATTGCAATTACACGTTAGTATTCAATCTATTTTTTGAATTGCATTCTAATTTTTCAGACACTTACAAATTTACAACACACAGCTTTTGAACTTCATGAATTCAGAAAACTCACATCTTTACTACAGTGCAATAAAATGTAAAAGCTATAATCAAATATTAGTAAATTTTTTTAGCGATAAAATGAGGAAACTTATAAAATGAAATAAAGATACTTCAGATTTTGAAAGCAGAAAGTTTTGAGAAATTTAGAGCACAGAGTAATGATGATGTAAGAAACTTCATTAATACAAAACACTTTTTCGGAAAAGCGAACTGACTTTGTAGCAAATTAAAAGCTGATTGTAGATAATATTTACTATTTGCTAACTCATGAATGCTGGTACTAAGACGTTCAGCAACCAAGAAAAAATATTTTGATTGATAATCAATTAAGGAAAGTGATCAATTTCAAAACACTGAATATTTGTGAATATGGTGATTTTTATTTTATTGCAAGACTATATTCATATGCACAATTAAGAGATCGCACTTGTAAAATTGATCAAAACATAGTGAAATTATTAGCAACACTAAATAATTTTACTGTTTGAGATAAGTGCGTTATTTTCACAGACATAATTATCATTTCACTAATGAGACAGTCAAATATTTTGTTTTTATATTAAATGAAAGTAATATAATTATGAGTAATTATAACCAAAAAGGGTGTACGTACAATCTGCTCTTTCTTCAAAATATTTGTGAAAAATTTGTGGAAACAAAGACATATAATCCAATAAAAAATTTCATAAGGTTAAAGTTGCATGAGCAAACATGTAACCTCTGGAAATAATGGAAAGTTGATAACTGAAATCATTTCCATCAGTAAAATGTATTTCTCAGTGCTGAATTCCCTCATCCATATTCATTAAGTTAATTTATTTCGACATTTGAATTATAATGTATAGATTTGTATAACTTTATGTTGACAACAAAGAATGAAATCGGAGTTAATAGTCATGTATTTTTGATATAATAATTTTTTTGTTGTTGATTAACTTATACTGTTACACTGATAAATGTTCGTTAGTAAAAACGATTACGTGAAATAAATGTTGACGGAGGTAAGAGACGAAAGAAATGAAGTGGGAAAACTGCAAACATTGCTGATTGTTTGGCTTGTCATTTATAAAAATTATATCTTTTTCATTCATCATGAATTTTGATGCTCAGAGAAAAGAAAATATTATTTCTTTTGAAAAACGGATATCTAACAATAACGATAAGCTTATTAAAATTTTACACAATATAATGGTAAACAATCTATTAGCTCTTAAAATGAAAGAAAATAACTGACATAAAATGAAAAAGGTCATTCTTTCTAAGAACTTAGTTTTATTTTTATGCTCCAAGCTTTCTTTCATTTTCTTTCTTAATCCAGAATCATAAGTCGAAATGCTTTGTTAGATTAACGTTGCTTTTCCGTTGGCTGCACATCATTTTTTGAAATTAAGGTTTGAAATTGTTCTGAGATGAAGAAATAACTTCAATTTCACTTGTATGGTGACAATAAAAATCCAAAAGTAATATACCATCAATAGTGTAAGTATATAATAGAAGCAAAATAAGGCAAAGACGTTTATTTCAACGCATTGATAGTTTGGAAAGTTATATCAGAAGATTCAAAAGCACAGCAGTACCAGACATTGTTTCTAATTTCAATCACATTGCAAGAGGCTAATTTAATATGCTTGGATTAGGAAGCGTTTAACCAATTTAATTATAAATGCTATTAAATTTTGGAAGTAAGAAAACTTACTTTTCCGTAACACAAAGATTTTACATAATTGTTATGCATTTTTCAACGAATAAAACTGAAAATAAAAGTGATTCGAGTTGAAAGAATTGCAAGTAGGATGTAAACTATTTATATAAAGGCTGCAAATTAATTAAAGACTGCTTTTCGATTCTTCGTTTTTATTCCCAAGTTTGTTTTCATTTAGTTTTGCCAAAATGTGTACAATTCAATTTTGTCTGACTAGCTTGTCCTCAGTAATTCTCATTTTTAATACTGGATTAAGGAAGAAAATGGAAGGAAAACAAAACAACGTTAATAGTTGAAAGACTTAGCACAAATGCCAAAGTGAAGTAAACTTTCTTATTTTGCATGACTTACTTAACAGTGCTAGAGTTGACTGTTGTGTTGAAACAATATTAAGTGTAGGATTAACCTATTAAGATGCTACATGGAATAACTTCTGATTATTACTTTGCTGTCATGGAACTGAGAGTATGCACTATGAAACTTAAAAGGAAAAGTACTTGCATGGCTGAAAAGTGTGAATAATGACAAAAAAAAGCAACGAAAATACCAGTAATTGTTATTAAGTCAGATAAAGCCTTCTCACTCATGAAACTATCTAATTTCATTTTCAACAGAACAAAAATATTTGATAACAGAAAACACTACTCTGAGATGAAGCAGTGGAAATATCTGTTCCTTTATTTTGCAATAATGTATATTATATCATCCAGCGTACTTTTAGTAAGAGTGAATAAATTTTATGAAATAAAATTACAGCAGTAACAATCTCCTTATTTTAATTTTACTAATAAATTTTATCGGAAAAAAGTAGCCTTATAGAACTGATTACTTGATTGTAGCTAGTGAAATATCATTGCTGAAAAGTAATGTAACACATTTTTTTATTGAAAAGTTAAGTGCGAAAATAATTCCACATGTGATGACTTGAAATGGGATAGTGACGAACTTCCATAAACGGTAGGCGAAGGAAATCAGAGTATATATCCGATCGCTCAAGAAGACGCTCAAAAGCATCTTATTCGATCAGCGCCGATCCAGAATCAGTAATGTAAAAAAGAAGATTAACCTTGTTAGGATATTTATTTATTGATTTAACATGTGTGTATAAGCTTGTTCGTTTCTTTTAATCAACGCAGGGGAACCGAAGACGAAAATTTTATTAGCATGTATTCATCATGATGATGAGAAGAAATGCCATTGATTTTCAGCACTAAATTTTTCAGATTATTCGCCCTGCGGTCTGCAAAAGGTAACAATCAAGTCCAATGAACCGTAACAATGAACCACATTGAAAGGTAACAATAAACCGCATTTAAAAACTAAAGGCAAATGTAATTTTAGCAACAGCAAGCGTTTAACAAACGTTCATCTTCTTTAACAATTGAAGGATATCAAATTATTTGCATTATTTTTTATTATATTTGAAAATCAAAGATATTACTTGGAAGTTGAATTTAATTGAATGTCAGTTGTTCAACAAATGCACAGCACTATTTGTATGCAAAAAATAAAAACAGAAGTGCGGAAAATTTCGTTTGTCGTTTGTTTAATATCTACGTTATGTATATGTTAAACTTCTGGTTTTCTATAAATAACTTCTGGTTTCCTAAAAATAACTTTTACTACAAAATTTCACTCCTTGTTAACAAGATCATATCACTACAATAATTTTGCAAAAAACCAATATTTTCAGTCATATCTTATAAATATTTTCAGAGGTATTCACAATAAATCTTCATGCTTGCAGCACATCATGCACTTTCATGTATGAAACAATTTATTTGTTTCATGAATTCCTCATTCCAACCTTTGTGGATAATTTAATTTATGCTTCATTCTCCAAGTTAACGAAAACAATCGTTATTGAGAATTCTTGCAGACTGTCTTAATCTGATTACTATTGATTACCGCACTTTTTATAATAGTACTCAAAATCTTAATGATGTTTGCTACATAAATGAGTGAAGCAGACAGATCACAAGAGTCATTAAGCAGTGCTTTCAAATGTACAAAGCAAACTCAGTTCTTCTTGTCCTGTGGATTTTTTGGTTTCAACAACATTTGAAACAAGATTTTAAATGAACCGCTTTTTACTTCAGTTTTCAAACTTATATTTGAAACTCGTTAGTTATCGTATTTAACTGAAGAAGGGAATTTTCTATCATTTCAATTAGGCTAAATATTTTTGTTTGGAACAACTTTTAATTTTAATTCGATGTTTGCGACATCATTTTCAATTGCGCATCTTATTTTGAAGTAAACAGCCCATCTTTTTTGAAGTAATGGTGATTTATATCAATGCCGTAGTTACTAATGATATCACATCACTGTTGATTGCTTCAGATATTCCATATTTCATACATTTGATTTCAAACACAATGCTTAAATTTTTTTATTTTAAATAATGAGATTGATATTCTGTTACAAATCTTCATACTGAATTAGTTAGTGAAAATCTGTTGCTATTCAGATTCAAAAGATCATTTTTGATTATTATTTCGGAGATGTTTGGATTAAATCTGTGGTAAGTACACAAAATATTACACAGAGATTTATCAGAAATTGCGAAGAAAAGATCAAAAATAAAGCGTAAATTCAAAACTGATCATTGTTATAGGATGTTAAGTAAAACGATCTTCTACAAAACACTCAACTATTTCTTTGAAATACTGGAGACATGATATTGGCTTCGTTGTTCTCCAGTCAACTTTTTTGGTTCCATTACACAGTGAAAGGCATGACGGTTCAACATTCCTCAACATTATTCATTTGTATCAAACAATGCAAAAATATGTAAGTGTATGGTTATTATTGATAGTAATTAATTTGAAACTGATAATTTCTTATAAAAATTTAGTCAAAACATACCGATTTGAACAGCAAGAAGTGTGATCTTTTTTTTGTGAAGCGCAATCCCATATTGGACGTACTTTCTTTTTACAAATAAATGAATCCATTAAGACCTAAAATTAAAATTAAAAAAGTTGATTCTGTGAAAAAATAATACGAGATAATTTTCAAGCAGATTTTCTTTTATTTTTGTAATTACAATTACAGTGGCAGTAATTTTTCGAGTTGAAAACTCATACAAACTTTCAAAGCAAAAGTACCATTTAGTAATCATAGTAAAATAATCAAAAGCAATGACAATTCTTTAACTGAAACAAATATGAAAATTACCTGATAAGGCTTAATTTTGTCAAAATTACATAATGATTGAGTGCAGAAATGAGAACCAATCGCTTTTTCGCAACATTCCATGAATTGAAGACTAGCTTCAGCAGCTTTAACAATTTCTGGTCGCACATTATAACAGGTAACTAGTGCAGTATTCAGTGCAGCCAGGCATGCTAGCCCAAATACAAACTGCAGTAAAATGGACATTCCTAAGATCTGTAAGTCATATACAGTGAATTATTTTTCTAAACTTGAGCTGTAAAGTGAGTAGCAAACTTGATTATTTACGATGACAGTCGACTATATTTCATCAATTACGACATTTATTTTATGCTAAATTAGGGGATGACATAAACCATTTACTGGAATACGATTTCAAAACGGTCTCTTCAGAAGAAAATTTACGACTGAAAAATTTACTTCGTAGCAACTTACATATGTGCGTGCTGCTCTTTACTATAAAACTCAGAAAATTAAGCATTTTCCAAATTTATATCGATAAATGATTTTCTTTTACTTTCTCAAAGGTACGCTTTCATTTTTGGTTTAACAAAGATTGAATCCACATTTCTTTAAAAAAATTGTGCTCCTTATATAATTAAAAAATTTTTAATCAATCATAAAAAATTAGAAAATTTCAAAGAAAAACTGCGAGTTTCCCATTCACAACAAATTAGAACCTTTCTCCATTGCATGCAAATAAGCGAACTGTCAGGATAATTGAGGTTTGCAGGAACAACTATGCTTACACTGGATGGGGCGAAATGAAAATGTAATCTAACAAATGCAACTTTCGAACTATTATAAGTAATTCATTCACCTTTGCTCTGTAATTTATGACTTTTTTAATGCTTGCATGTGTAAACATCAGCTTCAAGCCTTCGATCAGTGAACAAAGAGTGAGACGAGCTCTTTACCAAAAGCTTTTTTCCTTTTTGAATTGCTTTAAGATATTTGCAAGGAAAGGTAAGAGTTTTGATTACAACATCTGATGCTTTTTGTTTATTTAACACAGATATGATTTGCAAAGAAATTCTCTGCAACAATGGGAAATTCTTCTCATCTTTTTTGTAATCAATGAAAAAAGTTGAAAATAGTAAGGAAATGAAAATTATTTAAAAAAGTAAATTGGGTGAATTTGCCAAATATAGATCAAAGTTTGCGAAATAGCAATTTTTTGAATTATTGAAAAGTATTAAATTTTGATACTGTCACTTTCAAATCAGATTAATTTCAATTCTTTTAAAAGCAGGTTTCAGGAAGTGAAATCATTATACAGACATCTAAAAAAGTTACTTTGGATACGGCAGAAAACTACCCTGACTAAGTGAAACCTTTTAAATGAAGTGAGTGTCACAATATCACAAGTGAAAGATGAAAATAATTTTATTTTACAGTTTTGTAATGTCATAAAATGGTCTTCAGCGATTCTAGTTTGCATCAAGAGCGTCCAATTTAAGCTTCATTCCATACAGCTGTTTATTTTTTTTGCTTGACAATTTCAGTAAGTGTACTATACCACATCTGGCAAAGTCCACTTTCGAATGGTTCAAATGAATCATCACTCGAGCAATCTGTTCTGTCTTTGAATGTGAGCAGAGCATACACTTTGTTTTATCACAGAACCACTAAGCTTTCATTCACATAATGGCACTTTTTTTATTGCTCTCATCATATGATAACATATTATTTCATATAAGATGATATCATCTTGTAATTGAAGTACCCTTTTAGTTATTTATTAGCACTATCGAATCATGTTATTTTTTATATGAAATGAAATCTGCATTTAGCCATTCATTTTCGGGTATTCCACTTCCGTTGTATAATTTTGTTGCAGTAAGGATTGCGCTTTCAGAGAAAACCGCTTTCACGTCAATTCCTCGAGAGCAATAGTAACACTTGAGATACAAATTAACATAAATTACGTATGGCTATTAGATATCATCTAAACTTTTATCTTTCTTTTTTTGTATTAGTTTCCTTGCATATTTTTCCAATATGTAAGTATCCTCCGAAAAGCACAGCAAAAATCTTAACATACAGGCGATTTCTGCACTACAATTATGGTAATTTTTAAGCAAATACCATAATTTAAAATGCAGGTATGTCTAGTATTTATATTTCTTGGAATTGATTTGTTCGATATATGTCTAGTATTTATATTTCTTGGAATTGATTTGTTTGATATCGTGATGCTTTTCGAATAAAATTCGATTTGACGTTAAAACTGTAATTTTACGTTTTACTACGTAGTGCATTTAATCAAACACAAGTTGGTTACGGAGCAGTGAAATTGTGTATTTTCGCATTAATTTTCGTTTTAATATACAAAATTAAAAGACAAAAAATAAACAGCATTACAAATATGTAAAACGTAAAAGCCTGATTTTATTTGATTCACTATAAAATTGATGACTCATGCATAGAACTTCATCATTAGTTTTAAACTGAAATTAAAATGCACCGAAAAAATGTTGCAAACGATTTCAAGTAAAAACAGAAACAAATTTCTTGTCTTTTGTTTAAAAATTTTTGTGTCGTAGTTGTTCTGATTTTGTGCAGATATAAAGTTATTTGCACTTATAACTGATTTTTCACTGTTCTAGTCTACTTGTTGCGTATCAAGACAAATGATATCATACTAAAAACAGTTCTAACGCAATTTAAAACTCTGATAGTCTTTTGATCGAGTTATCGTTCAAATCAGAGCTTTAATGATTTTTGATTTTGACTTAAGTTATATACTTAACCAAAGTTCTGAAAACAAACTTCATGTTTTATATTATTATGTAATTTTTTCCATTATTCGATAAATTGCTCTAAATTGTAGGTCGTTTGAAGTATTTCTAATAGTACTTTAATTTCTTCTAACAAAATCATAATATTTTGTGGATAAAAATTGCTATTTTCTTTGAACAAATTAAATCATAATTTAGAAAACTAGATGGAGAAACGAGCAAAATAACATAATTCGCAAATAACTTTATTTCTGTAGTTTATAACTGCAATAGAATTACAAGGATTTATATTATGATCACAACGAAGGTGTTTTTGCTTTATTCAATAATATCATAATTATTGAAATAAATTTTGTAGTCACAAACGATGATACGATAATTTCGATGAGTGGAATTTTTCGTTACAATGAAAAATTTTTATTTTTATTTTCGCAACACAGCTGTGCCTTTTATTATTTAAAATATTTGCTTTTAAATAACCATTTTTACAACATTTTCTTAGTAATCAAATATAAAATTTCCTTTTTTAGTGTAAAAAAATCAGAAAAATATATTTTCCTGCTCCAAAAAAAGAATGAAAAACCAAAAAAAATGTCCATTGATTTACTTCTGTCTATTTGTTTTGAATATTTTTAAATTATCGAAAAATCATGGTTTAGCCAGTGAATTTTGATCGAAGTATACTTTGACTTTGAATTTCAATGCTAATTTGTGAAAAAATTTCTTGGGACGTGCTTGTATTGTAGCTAAATAGTAATTAAGCATAAGTAGATATGTAGTATTTATAATGTTGAGTGAATTGGAATGAAATCTAAATACGAAGTTTGATAACTGCTATGATCTATTTTTCTTAAATATTTTTCATGGATTTAAACACAAAGGATGTAATTGCATGAAAGTTTTAATATATTCATTTAGTTTCTTACTTGGCATTAAATGAAACTTCAACTTATAAACATAATTACTAGCTTTATAATTTCAAATTGTTTCCATCGTTGTTTTTATTACACTTATTTTCATCATTTTTATTTGTGCAATATGCGAAATGAGCAAGATTATTTTTTTTTGTCAAATGAAAATATTACATCCATACTTCTCACCTTTGAAGAAAGAAATACAGATCAAATATGTATTTAATTAATCACACAAGACCTACGTTCTTATTTCTATTTATTTTCTGTGATAACTTTTCCGTTCAGAATACAAACTTCGTTTTTCATTTCAAGAAAACAAAAAATGTCAACTCGCATGTGCATTGTGGGTGGTGGTGGCTATTTCGGTCAGCATCTAGCTCAAGAGCTGCAAAAAGAAGGATATCATACAGTGATTTTAGATGTTGATTTTCCTAAAGTACCTGTAGTAAAGCTTGACAAATATCTAACAACAAGGATAAAGGTTACTTGCATTTGGTTCAGCTCTTCAACTATTATAATAATAATACTAATAATAATAATAATAATATTAATAATTATTATTATTCATATTATTCATAACATTATTATTATTGTTATTCATATTATTCATATTATTATTATTTTTATAAACTATAAATTGGTATTAGTATTCATGACTGTTGTCATTATGAACCGTAGGATTTGCTGGTTGATCAGATCAAGTTTGCTTATAGCTTAAACGAAATTGGACACTGAATGTTTCATTTACTGATTCATTTTCAAGGGTTCTGTTATGGATACAGAAAAGCTGGATGAAGCATTGCAGAACTGTGTAAGCTGCTTCCATATTGCCGCATATGGTATGAGTGGTGGCTCTTCTGTAAGTATTTGCTTGCAAGCAGTGATTTTCTCATATAATTCGATAAAGTAAATTTCTCTTTTGATGTTTATCAGAACGATTGTGTTTAGGTTGGAATTTCATGGTATTTATTGGCAATTTATCATTATTTTTCCTAGTAGATTTCTTTACTAAAAATTTTTTTGGTTCATTTAAGTGCAAAATTTTGATTTTCTTTTAAATGCCAAAATACCCTTTAGTTTCCATGTAATAGAGTACTCATACTTTTTTCAATTTTCTTCGTCCTAAAATTAAAACAGTCGTTAACTGCTAGTTAATTGCACTGTAAATATTTATTTCATCCAGATGTTATTATATGGTACCTATTAACTTTGAAACTTAAAGGTCAACTTAATTTTCACATTTCCGATTGATATAATAGTTTTCAATTACAATGTAGTCAAGTTCTTTTGAAAAATATGAAGTTTTGTTTATTTCTAAGTTGAATGAGGAAATGACATATCGTATCAACGTGAAAGGCACCGAACGGGTGCTGGAACGTTGCCGTATTAATAGAGTGCAAAGACTGATATTTGCCAGCTCAGTAGTCGTAATTTTTACCAGTGAAGAACTGATTAATGCTGATGAATTTACGCCTTATCCTAATCCGTCAAAGGTTTATAATTTAAATTGATTGCTTGCCATTTCTTTTAATTTGATTTTAGACTATAAAGTTTACTTTTCGGTGCTATTTTTGTGTTTGAAAATAATTGTAATTTCAAAATTCACTTTTATTTCAATAAAATCATTGAATTAATTTTATATGAGCTATAATTTATCTTTGTAATTGATAATTGATGTTGCTTTTATGCATTTGGCCGATATGATTAAAGATTTGAGATGTTTTAAGTGTAATTTTCATTTCGCATGATTGTGAATTTTAGTTAGCCAAATTAAAGCAAAAATTCACAAGTTTCATTGTTGTGTGTTTATTCGTTATTTTCTGCACTGTGCTGAAACACTATGCTATTTAGTGACAAGCTGTACTAGCTAAAAAATGGATTTTAGACAAAAAATATTCCAGAGCATTTTAGTATTACTCATACTATGCAGCATCCAAAGCAAAAGCTGAAAAATTGGTGCTGGATAACAACTGTGACTCGTTTAGAACCTGTGCTTTAAGATTTCGTGGAATATATGGCCCAGCTGAATCAAGAACAGTGCAACGAGTAGTTGTTAGTTCTTTCCTTTGCCAATCGCTCACAAAAGCATATTTGTTTCAAGTGGAAATTCTAAATTAGAAGGGCAAAAGATAAATACTTTGGTAAAGGTAGATTATATTCATACTTTCTTATCATAATAATAATACTTTACAAAGAAATTCGTTCAGAATGTATGCAAGCTTGGTTTAGCAGTGGCAACCTTTGAAAAATCTCCTAACTGTGTAACGCAATATAGCGGAATAAAGAACAGTGTCATGGTGAGCAAATTTGCGATTTACAAGTCTGAATAGAATCAAATACTGTGAACTGCATAGAACATACATGTTAAATTTTGGTGTAAAATTTAAAAAAATTTTTCATTTCAAAATTTGGAAAATTTTTAACTTGACTTTCTTTCAAATTCAACCAGGAATTACATGGGAAATTTATTTTTTCAAACCGACAGCAGGATTTAAAAGTGAGAACGGAAAAATTTAATTTTTTCTTCTCTAGCTGTGTTTATCTTCTGCATAGTTATCTTCTTAAGGGATTCTGAAAATTTTTTAGAAATGAAAAAATAATTTTTGATTCACTAATTACTCAGTCTCGATTCCAGGCAATGAAACTAGCGGAAAGTGCTTTAAGAAAAGGTAAAGCATGCGGGAATGTGTATCACATTGTTGATGGTGGCCCACCAGTTGGATCTTTCAGTTTCTGGTTTCCACTCATTCAAGGTGAACAGATTTTCACAGTAAACCTATTGATAATACAAACTCGTTTAAACTTAATTTATCTAGTTTTCAACAGTTGAATCTTGCTCCAAATTTCTTATAATTAATCAAAAAAGTTTTTGATTTAGCACTTGGCAAACCACTACCTGTTATGAAGTTACCACGAGCAGCAATGGTATTTCTGGCTATTCTTTTTGAATATCTTTACTGCTACTTTGGCTTAGAACCATTTTTCACCAGGCTTGAGATTAATTTGATGTCGATCACAAATACATATTCAATTAAGAGAGCTTGTATTGATCTTGGTTATCATCCAGTGAGCAATCATGATCTTACCGAGGTAATTCGTTATCATCAAGAAACAAATGATAAGACTGAAGGTAACTCGTCACTTCTGTCAATGTCAACATGCAAAGGAAAATACTTGTTCATTCTATTAATTACTCTCAGCTTCTTACTGCTATTTACTGCACTCATTTTCTGGTTTACGAGTAATCTTTCCTTTTAGAAAAACTCTTTCTTTCTTGCATGTTCTGTCTTTGAAATGACATGGTGGCATTTACTCCTTCTATTCTTCACTTAAAACAATTAGTTATTTCAAGCAAACACTAACAAACAAGTGTGAATGATAATTTATCTGATAAGAAGGGTTTACGCTGCAATATCCAAGTGCTTTTATATCTGCACCATTTTCATTTGGAATATTCATTAAATGACATAAACAGTTTATTAATTGACACTATTATTGACTTAATTATTAATATTTTTTTAGTTGCAAAATACAATTTATTTGATAACTGAAAATGTGACATTTTCCAACATCAATCGTTGACATTTGCTCTAAGATTCCGATTAGATTTTTTTAACAATTATAAACTGAGTACAGGCCACTTCGTTTTTTATTTTCCTACAACTCATTAATAATTGTTAATTATTTCAAAGTTTGATTCCAATATTGCTATCGAAACTGTCCAAAAGCTTGGGAAAGTTTTGCGCACAAGCAGTGAGCAACATTCAGTTCGTTAAAACTGCTCGCACATTTTCTTCTTTTCTACTTGCAAATTTATCATAATTACTGCCTTAATAATGCAAACTTGAAAAGGTTGATAATGACTCCGTCCATCAAAATTGCCACTATTATCTATAAAAAGTTATTCTCATTTCGAAATTTGTTGCAGGAAGCGATAAATTTCAATGAAAAAGTTTGATTTCGCGTGATAATTTCAGCTTAGAACTGGTTGTCATAACTAGTAATGTCAGTTTCAATTTTGCACACAATGATCACTGATAATGTTTAATACTAGACAGTTAATATTATATGGAGGATAGTTTATTCAAGCAAATTGATTTCTTAGTTGTCAAATTGCATATAAATTTTACGGAGGAGTTTTTTTCTCACTCCTTGAAAACAAATGATGAGCAGAAGAAAAATAAAATATGTCAATGATTAAATCGCAGTATTCAGTTGTATTCATGCGTATGAATTTGTAGATTTCATTAATGATCCATTCTGAGAATTTCAAACAAAGTTCGTCGAAAAATATATTTTCGAAAATTACAATTTGATGCCAAACTTTCTTACTGTACACTTTAAACTGGCAAATATTATGTATTTGACAAAAATAATAATACCGATGATATCTGAAAAGTTACAGTGCAACATTTTTATATGCTGAAAGTTAGTTGTCAATGGAGCATAACTTACTGCAATTATTATTGGGTAACTAGCTTATAGGAGTTCGCAAATGACTTGCTGATCAGGTAGACTTTTTTAAATTCAAAGAAATTTTTTTACATAAAACGATCAGTGTGATAACTGAAAAGATTTTCAGTATCTGAAAAAAAATTCAGGTTGTTTAAAAAAACCAACCAATCCGTAGTTGAAAGCACTTAAATAACATTATAAATGAGTGATATGTTGATTCCAAACCACATTACAATGTCATACTTTCAACCAGTTCACCTAATTTGACTACTCGCCTTTTTCGGAATCTATCAGAACCTTCAGTAAGAGTGTTTATATTGCTATCTGGTTTTAACTCAGTCAAAGCTTGGTGTTTGACATTTTCCAACTGAAGCTCCACAAGCTGCAAATCTGCGAAGATTTGAGCATCCCGCTGTCGTATATCAACCTGAAGTCCTTGATAAATTTTAATAATAAATAGAATGTTTAGCTATGAACTGTCACGATGTTTCATTAAATGCTTTTAATAAATTTATGTGAAACATTATCAGGAATAATACTTTATCGGTTGACGAGTTGAAAAGGGTTCCTTTAATATTATAATGAGACATAGAATCAATGGCTAGTTAGACGAAAGTAATTAAGAAAGAATTCCTACCAATTCCCGTTTGAGATGACTGAAAACTTCGTCCCAAGATCTGAAATCACCAAAGAAACTTTTATGACAATAACTGGGACTTCTTGACTTTGACAAATCCGAATTACTTACAACATCATTTCTTAACAATGTTGTCTTCGTCGCTGAAAGGGACGAGTCAGAATGATGACAATTTACCATTGTACTGTTGCCTGCAGAATACAAAACTACCACTAGTTACGTAGCAGAACTAATTCAATACTCAGTTTCAGGAACTAATTTTTTTGCACATAAGGCGCATTTATTCACTGAATTTGTTACTACTATTCCTAATTAAAAAAATGAACTTGAAAAAAGTGGAAGCAAGAAAAAAACGAAAGAAGATAAATTACTGCTCCTGTAAAATGTAAAAATTTGACAAAACCAACGGACATCACTCTACATGAAAGAATTTTTCTTTTGTTATTTCTGTTACACTGGTAATCAAAGAGTAATGTTCAAGAGAAATGACTTTCTATCACATCACCAGACAACTTGCACTTGTAAAATTTTAGTCGTGTGGCGAAAACCAGTCCCATCCTTTCTTATATTTACCAAGACTGATGATTTGCCAAATATTCAGAAGATTAGAAGAACTAATGAAAGCTTGTGAAACCATGTCAATCTGCTCAACCTTTTATTTTTTTTAAAAGTATAAACTATTCATCATAGAATGTGAATTCTTAAGTTTCCCAAATTGTTTTACATACAAAAAAGCTTTGGCTAGTTTTTATCGCACTTAAAAGTAAATTAAAATGAAGCTTTGAAATTTCAAAGCAAAAGCAAATTTAAATATCTCTGCATTTTTTCTTTCCTACATTTCTTTCTGATTGCCGTTCCATTTTTTTCAGTGCACCAAAAGTAAAGTAGTAAAAAAGTAACGTCTCTACCTCTCTAAATGTTACACTGTTCGACAAATTTTTCTGCAACGTAAATTTTGTTAACTTTCTGAATGCGTGAGGAACAAAAATCATAGAAAACTTGACATGGAAGGAATATTGAAGCTGATGAACTTCCTGGTGTCACTGTTCTGATCGGATTGGTTTCTTCAACTTGCAGTGGGTTAGACGATTTCGCTGTGTCGTACACCCTAAAATTATATGTAATCAGACATTTGAGTGAGCAGTAAACGACTTAAATCACAAATTGTTATTAGAAAATAACTCTACCAAATGATATTGTTCCAAGATAAATTGCACTCTAGATGAGTAACACAGGAAATTTCCAAACACTAACTTATTTTTATAACAAATAATATTAGTATCTTCCTTCATATCTTTTTTCTGCGCATGCATGATTATATGAAATTTACTCACTCGTACCACAAATGTAATGATGTATTCGAAAATTCGAATCAAGTGTGGACGAACTTTTTAAAGAGCCTTTTTCGTTACTTTAGCTGGATTTAAAAAACTGTGCCATTGCGATTATTCTGAGTCTATATTTCGCTAAAATTCTTCTGATACGTTAACAAGGGAAGAGGGATGAGATTGTCGCTACCATGACAGCATGATCTGACTATATTTTTCATTTCATAAAATTAAGAGTCGAGTAAAAATATTTACTTTGCTAAGTAAATTAAATGAAGTGAATGAAAGACTAAATACGAAAATATTAGAAAAAAGATACATTTTTTCATTCATATAGCAGTAAATATGAAATTATGAGCATATCAAGTTCATAATTAATGTAGAATTTTTCTTTTTGTTCAAAAAAAGATCACTAAAACTCATTGTTAATAAAGTGAATCATTACATGGAAGGACCATGATAAGATATATGAAAAGACAGACACTGGCAGTTTCCTTAATTGAAACTTATAGAAAGTGAATAATCACTTTAAAATATTCAAATAATACAATGAAAAAAATGGAAACAGCAGAACTGATTTTTACCTTTGATGCATATCTTAGTTTTATTTTCGAGTTTGTTTCTTTTCAGATGATTTAGCGAGTTATAAGATAGAACAGATACTCTCTGTTTACAAAGATTTGAGCTTTTCCGTAGATTCTTTAATCCAGAAAAGCTCTGTGCTTAATGAAATTCAAAGTGTGATTACTGGTCGAGCGATCTGAAATAGATCTGAAAAACGATCTTAAATCTCAAAGTGTGATTTATTAAGAAATAATAATTTTATCTCGCATTTTCGGTTGATGAGTTTCTCTAGTTTTTCCAAGAAATATCTCTCTATTGTAAATCAACAAAATTTTTGACGTTTTTTTAAAAATGCACAGCTTGAAATAATAACAGCACAATATTTCATTCATAAAGATTTTTTGCAGAAAATTATTACCTTGATGATATGATGACGTTATGAACATTTCAATGAATTTTATATGATCATGCTTGGTTACATGCAGCAATATACAGTATTACCCATCTTGCAGAATTGAAAATTGATTTTACTTTTCTTATCGAAAACTAAGAGTAAAAAAACTCTAGGATGTCAAAAGACTTTTTGAAATCTTTCATTCACTATATCGCCAGATTTAAAATAACAGAGATGTATCAGTTTCAGAATATTTCAAAAATTTTGGCTTTTAAGCTGTGAGTGATGCACGTTGAAAAATATTTCTGAAACATTTTTTTTTTGACTTCTAATGAATAATGCTGCAGCACTAAAAGCATATGCACAGAGACAAGCGAAAATTAGACTTTGTTTGACGACTAAACAAAAAATTTATGCAATCAACAAATCTTATAAACTTCAAACGACAATTAACATTAATTTACTACTTTTTTGGTTCAATTAGTTTGTCTTGCAAATAAAATGGTAAGAAGGAAAATGCCGGCCTAGTTGTAAATTTTGTTTTTTTTTGCAACTAATTGCTTTCCTTAATAATTAAAACAGTTGTTTGGTGAGATCTTTCGATGCGTAAGGTTCTATTATCTAATACATCACAGGTGAAGCTTAATGTATGTCGAATGCGAAAGAAATAATTAATGGTCAAAAATTGGCCAAGAAGATGTTCAAAGATTGGCTGCTTTAGTAAATCAAATTAATAGCACATATGGTCATTACCACTCCTTTTCAATCCTATTTATCTAACGACGCAAGCCTTATTTATTCACCTTTGAGCAGTTTCATTTACAGTGCTACAAATCCTTTCAGCATGTTACATTAAGAAAAAAATGCTTGGAATAGTCACTGAGAATCGATTATCTTAACTGGGATATAACTTAAGTAAGACCAATTAACTATACGGGGCATTATTTTCAAGTAAGCACAGGGATAAATATTCAATTTTTGAAAAATGTTTCTCTTCTGAATGCTGTGCTTTCGAGAATTTTTCATTACTAAATTAAAAGCAAACATCCAAATCTGAATCCATTCATTCTTCCTCTTTTGCTGTTGACAACACAATACTTTCAAACTTTCTCAGTGGATAACTTCATTTTTGCACCGACCCACGATGAAATGGAACTCAAAATTTTATCGACTCTGTGCAACAATGATTTATTTAATAGTTTGAGAATTCAAAAACTGATATTTAGTTTTAATCAGTAGTTATGATATAACGACTAGAAATTCCTCCGATTCCACGATTTAATAAACACATATCATAAAGTGAGCGAAAGCAATAGTGCGGATCCATTTGCCGTTATTCTCCGAGTATTATTAAAAAATATCATATTATCACCGTCATTATCCTCATTGTTCCCGCTTTCATAAATCACATCATTGACTTGCGCACTATAAGTACTGGATTACAAATATAAAGATCATTGTTTTTATGTTTACGTTTATGTTTTATTAATTATTATTATTATCATTCATAATTATTATTATTACCATTATTGTCTTAATAATCACTATGCTTATCAAATAAAATGCATTAGTTTGAATGATGCACTTAATGATAGAAATTCGAAATAGGAATAGAACATACTGTTTTTAGATAGGGGTATTCAATTTTAGCAGAAATTATTACATTATGAAAAAAGTGCTGGAAAGCAAACACAATAATTATTTATTGAAAATGAATAGTTTTGTTCGTTCAGTGCTAAAATGAAAACATTTTACTTGTCTTCCGAAGAAATTATCTTTTATTGGCATGAAATGATAAAAAGTGAAGTCATTCTTCATACTTGTAATTAGTATAGAACGTGCATGAGATCATCAAAAAAGGAGTCAAGCAAAGTATTGTACATATAATAGTGCTGACAATACGGAAATATCAAAAGTTTAATAAGAAAATAAACTAATAATCTCACTTCTCAAAAATGTCTCAATGCATTAAAAGACAAAAAATTGTTAACAAATGTTCTTTCATACCAATTTATGCCATCAACTAGATCATGAATGCATTTTAAGTTCTATTTTAAATGTAATTTTCTCATGGTTTAGCATTACTATCAACAGATATATGGTAGCCTTGCAATAATTAGCACAAAGATTATTTTTATATCGTACTTATGAGTTTACTTCATCTAATGACCATCAACTACAAAACTTTGCATAGTATATTACAATTAGATTAAACATTTTTTTTTAATTTCAAGAGTTCTTGTTCAATTTAAATTGTAAACAGTAATAGTTCACTTTTTTTTAAATTCAAATTACTAAAGTATCAAAAGCAAACCGATAAAATAAGATTTTAAGATTTCTACTTATAGTTACTGTAACATCACTTATTATTCCGATGCGGTTCCATCATGTTCATTATTTAATGTAAAATAAGCGTATTTTACGGGAGAGAGAGAAATTTTAGTTCCAATTTGTAATGGTATTCTTATTTTAATGATCTCTTTAACACAGCTCATTTAAAATTTATAAAATATGAAAGTCAAGGCCAAGACTGAAGGATGATTAATTTTCTTCATCTCCTTCAGGAAATATTTGTGAATGCTAATTAGAAATTTAAGCAGTATTTTATTAATTTTATTAAGAGTGCTTATAACTATTTTCCCAGTTTATTTCTACAAAATTCAAATAAAGATGAATTTAATATCAGCAAAACAAGTTCTTTATGTGTTTTTTCAACGAAACAAATCAATTATGAGCTATTTCTTCTTCAGAAATTCTAGTATGCTAAAAGAGACAAAAAATACAAAGCATCTCCTTGGATTTATTGTATGCCTCAGTAAAAAAACTAGGAATAAACTTCGAATCCTTGACTTTGATATTTGTTAGTGAAAGATGGCAAAAAATATTTTCCTTCG